CGGCATGTTGCCGGTAAGTTTCTTTTAGCCTTTGGAAGGTGTGTGGAAAGAATCTGACTTATCATTTCGATGCTCTCAGCTGCAGGAGTATGGGGGCTCTTAGCACTTCGTCTTGCGGATGATCTAATTTTACCTTTCAATTACCTTTCTTATGCGAACCAGTTGCAGGTATGCAGTACTTTTTATGTGCTTATGAAGGATCATCTTATAATTACTTTTTCTGGCAATTTTTCTGGTTTAGCACGGCAGTTTGCAATATTCTACTAGAAGCAAAGAGGTATCAGATTCAGATGTTGACAATTGCTTCTAGGATAGTGAGATAAGATCCATTCTTAATTAGGTAGATAGCTTATCGACACAGAGTACCATTGCAGAGGCATGGTGCATAGACAACTGTTTGTTCTAGATAGTATTTTCTTATCGTGACAGTAATGACCAGTGGCAAGATGAATGTGTTTTTAGAGAAGACTCTTGTGGTTGCTCGGACTCCTAGAATAATCCCATACTGTACCTGCCACTCCTGAACATATTTTTCTGCTTTTGGTCAGGGCTATGTGGATATCTTGATTAACTCACTAGAGGGAAATATTTCTGTGCACCCTTTGACCTTGTCAATTCAAGCACTTGTATCGGTGGCCAAAGAGGTTGAATTGGAAGCAGAGGTAAAGTTAGTGGTTAAAACTTAGTTGGCAATCTTAAATCAAGGAAAATACACTTCCACTCAGGTAAAGTTGTGCGATTATATTGCAGAAATTGAGCATGGAACGGATGACTGGCGAGCTCGGAGTGTTGAGGAGGCGAGCATTAAATGATCGGCTGATGCTTGCCGAAAGAGGCTTCTTGGATGCCGACGGTCTTCCCTATGGACGGTGGTTCAAACATCTTGTGAGTAAAAAGAAAAAAAGAACCTTTTCTTTTAGGCACAAGCGTAGCATGTATTCCATATGGAATGAGCTCTGCATTGTGGTTATGGTTTTCGAAGCGTTCCTGGCAAGTCCTGATTGGTGTAGGCATCACTTTCAGGTTTATGGACCGAGCGACTACAGAAGCAAGACATCTTTCTTTCCTGGAATAGGAGAAGCCATTTGGAGATCAATGGGAATGAGAAGCAGGGAAGGGCAAGCGGCGATTCAACATGAGATATGGAGAGTGGCTAGAGCCATTCAGAGGGTTGCCGATGTTCTGGGAGGTCAACTCTTGTAAAAATTTATATCACACAAAGCAAAAGATCGACTCATGCGCCTGTGTATATGCAGATAGGTGGTGACAGTAAACTTCAAGGAAAAGGGCAGCCTCTCTCTCTCTCTCTCTCTCTCTCTCTCTCTCTCTCTCTCTCTCTCTCTCTCTCTCTCTCATGTCATGTAATCTGTGTAACTTCCTATGTAAATTTTCTGATATGTCTGACATATACAATAGCTGCCATTACTTATGAATGAAAAGTAAATTTTGCTCCTTGTGGTGTTTAGGCGTTCAGTTTTGATCCTTGCTTGTTCTGCACAAATTGACCTTCTTGTATTATATTCAGCTCACAGATTGAGTTTGTCTTATAATATTTCTATTCAATATCTAATGGGAATTCCCAAGTGCAATCAGCTCGAGACGCCTATGTGCACAAGTCCAGGAAATTATTTTTCAGCCCTCGTGCTTATATTTTGTTTTGTGATGATACTAGTCTCTATTGATCTTCAACACAGTGTTGAGGCGACATCGTACATGACGCTGATGTGTACATTTCTGATCGATAATCTCGTTGAGTTGAAGAGATTCGGTAAAGCTTCTTTTAGCAGCCACAACTATGAAAATAGGCGATGCAATTTCTGTTTGAATGGTTCGGTATACTCCTCGTAGCTGCAGAATCTTCAAAGTTGTCCCGTTTAATTTTGAGGTAATACACCTTTGAAACATTACTATCAAATCACAAGCTATAATTTTTCTTTAACGTCTCTGCACAATTGTGCCGATAAATTTCTCGTCATAACGTTTAACTCATCTAAAAAAGCACACGATACGACTCTCGAGGTTGGTGCAGTTGATCAAGCAAGTCACGGGATTTCCAGTTGAGGAACTGGAGCTCGTATGTTCAGAGTCCTGGCAATTGTGCACCAATAGCTCTAGGTCAAGGTCACCGGCATAGGTGAAAGACTCGGCGCCGGTTTATGGTATTTGCAGGCCGTTCCATGGACTTTCAAATGGCCGGTCATTGCGCTTATGTTCCTTTTACTATAAAAGAGAAGTACATTATATTGTATAATAGTCAAATATCCATTGGAATTAGTTATTTCGTTAAGTACATTATTCGTTTTGGCAAAAAAGTGATTGCAATTCAGCGATAAATATAGTTTCGCCATATTATAGAAAAGTTACGTGGGACGAAGCTAACTTTAGATATTAGAATAATGATACAAACAATCCCTGAATTTTGGCATGGGTGGGTTTTTTGTGAAAAGAATAAATAATAGAAGAAGAGGCCAAAAAGGCAAGACGCGCCAGGTAGGGGTCGAACCTACGACCTTCTGCTTAGGAAACAGATGCTCTATCCACTGAGCCACAGGCGCTTCGCTAAGAAACTAGTGTTAACTAATTTTATATATACTCAATTTTACTATGTATGTACTCCACCCGAAGATTGATGGGTAATTTGAATATAGAAATGGGTTAATACCACAAAAAATCATAAACTGGTACTCCTGTAATAAATTTACCAAAAACTAATTTTTGGATCACCAAAAATCCAAAACTAATTTTGGATTACTAAAAACCTCAAACTGGTATACACGTGACACATTTGTCCCTCGTTAGCTTTGATGAGCTGGATGACACATGCAATAAAGTTCATGTGAAAATTCATAACTCTTTCTTTATTTGATGGAAACTAATGAAGAGTAAATGTGTCATGCATGTACCAGTTTGGGATTTTTGATAATCCAAAAATTAATACTAATTTGGAGTTTTTTGTAATATTAACCCTATAAAAAGACACACTCCTTGTCACCGAGTAAAAACTTATGAAGTTCACTTTAACATGTACTTACATCTTACATTTCATCCAGGAATGACTAAGGTGGGTTGGAACCCTAGGGACCTTTTTTTTTTTTCTCCTGAAGAGGCGATTTCGAGAATGACCAACCGAGAAATCCGTAGCCCAGATGCCTCACGGCGTCTCCATGCGAGTCTTTCTAGCATACTGTCGGATCTCATAGAATACTACATCGCTAATTCGAGTCCACATCGTCCAGAAGTATATTCCATCGTATTCCCAGCAAGATCTAACAATTGTTGCTGTTTTTGGGTTGACTAAAAGACTTGGAGAATGTTGACCGTCATCCACTAAAGTTTGAGGAAAGGCCATGAGATCGAGCCTATGACTCGATTTGGCTATTTCTGCAAATGCATGCGGAATGAAATATTGGAATTTCAATCGCCATCTAAGCTGTGTTTATTTTGCGAAAAATGAATAATTTAAAAAATATTTTTTCTAAAAATGATTGCTTTCATTACTAACGAATATAAATAAGCACAAAACATTTTCATTACATAAATTGTTGTCGGTAACGACGAGTCATAAAGCTAACTTCGTCCAATTTGACTCACGAAAAATACTAACATGACTTTTATTATTATTTATTTTAATACTAATTTTATTAAAAGTAAATACAAAAAATAAGCTAAATATTTTTTTTAAAAGGAGGAAGACAGGCGAGGAGGGCTACAAGCCCTCGCCACAGCCGCCCCACCATCGTCGGGAGGGGTCGGCGAGGTGAAGGATGGCAAGCAAGGGTCACCAAGGGCCGGCGACAATCGCCGACGGCAAGCGAGGGCCTGTAAGCCCTCGCCCAGATATGGGTGAGGGGTCGCGGCCCTCCCCCAGACACGCTAGTGGGGGGGGGGGGGGGTAGCGGCAATGGTGGCGAGGTTTGTTCTCCTTTTTTTCCTTTAATATTTAGCTTATTTTTTAAATTTATTTTAAATAAAATTAGTATTAAAAATCAAATTTATGTCAAAACAACGCCTTTTTGGCCACATTATCGCCACGTAAAAGAGAATATTAAAATAAGCAATGTCATTTTAGCCACGTAAAAGAGAAAACATTAAAATAAGCTATGTCGGTGCAATGTCAACATTTTCCATTAGTAAGTTAGACGGTGTTAACTTTATAACTTGATTGAACAAATTATACAAGTTACAAGACTTGATTGCATTTTATGCAAGTTTTAGGACTCAAATGCATTTTCATAACAAATTCTAAGACTTCTATTGCATATATTCAAAACTTTTTTTATCGCCTAATTATTTAAGCAATACATGCGATTACTTTTAGGAATATATTTTCTGAATCATTCATTTTCCACGAAATAAACGAACCTTAATCTTTCTACTTCCCGTCGATCATTGCTTTTGTTACTAATTCAAATATATGTTTCATTTGTTCATTAACCTGTGCCTGTGCTCATTGGATTTTTTCAAATCTGAAAAATGAACTATAAAAATGGCAAATGAAAACTTTTCCCTCAAACCGACAATTTCGATCATTTTCGGAGTAGCGAAAACTATATGGGAAAAGATGACGCTCGAACGAAATGCCTCGAACACAGAATGTCACCCAAGCAATTCGATTTGATGTGGGGGGGGGGGGGGGTGTGGTGAGGCTAAGTTTTGGACGATGATTAGATCCGACATCCTGAAGAAAGAAGAAAACACAAAAAGATAGAAAGTATCAATGAGCTTGGTACTTTAAATTGGTAGAGGTACGAGTTACAGGTGACAGCCTCTTCCTTTCACTATCGCAGCTACATATAGTTTCATGGCTCATGATGACAACGACAGAATACAAATTTCTGTCTGCTCCTTCAGTAAGTTATTTTACTGTGGATCGAACCGGCAATTCCTATTGTACCGGCGAAAATCCAGAAGCCAATGAGCCCTAAAGGTTCTGACCTAAACAGAAGAAAACGGATACCTCCGAAAAGCACACGCTTCAATAAAACCTGTATAAGACATCCTTGAACGAAACAAATGATCGCTATAATTATGACATGGATGAACAGAGCAATCAGGACTGCTAAGTGGTGCAGCTCTTTCTACAACACCCTTAATCGGGTACAACCAGCCACTTGAAATTTTGAGGTCGTCCCCCACTATACTTAAAAACCGAACTACAAAAAAGATCAAATGAAAAGGGAAAGAAGATAGTAAAATGGAACGATTCCCGCTATAAACACCCTCATCCAAAATCTTCTTATGCACTGCTAAATTACAGACGCAGGAGGACGACAGACCGGGAAACAAGAAAATCCCTTAGAAAGAGGAAGAGCTCAAGCAGGGCCATATGAGAAGAGATTCCCTTGAAGAGCGGACACCCAACTTCCTCACCCGTGCTAAAGAATAATTTAGCCTACATGTACTATGGTCACCCAGGCCATCACTTAGATGCAACAAGCGTTCTCAACCTCCACATCATTATCATCAAGTAGTCCTTAAATGGAAGGTCCCGTTAAATCCTCAGCTCTTCTTAGTTGTATATTTTAACAGGCTTCTCATGAGTGTGACGGTTCTGCAAATCGGAAATAAATCATGATGCACACATGGACAGACAAGCAACCCACGGGAATTTAACCAGGCATAAATTGGCTTACACAGCAATATCACCTCATCCCCACAGAATTTTTAAAGCAAATGCGTTAAGTACAGAAATTCACCTGATTCACCACATAAGACCTCTTGGGAGCATCAGAGTGCTCCAATCCAAGGTACTGTTCGCCATAAACATCTCTCCTCTGTTGAAACATCCGATTCAGGTTGTGACAACATGACTTATCTATCATTTGTCATGGGTGCTCTGTGTGTGTTTGTGTTGAGAGAGAGAGAGAGAGAGAGAGAGAGAGAGAGAGAGAGAGAGAGAGAGAGAGAGAGAGAGAGAGAGAGAGAGAGAGAGAGAGAGACAGAGACAGAGAGACAGAGAGATGCACCTGAAAACGGTTTGATAAAATTTCAGAATCCTCAAGATACTCTGGGCGACCCAACGAAAGAAATGCAAACTTCCACTGTTTAAGCATTTTCACATTTTGTTTCAGCGTTTGGTATCCATAAACACTATATACACTATAGGAACCTCCACCATAATCATGATAATAAAGAAGGCATAGAGACAAGATGGAGACCTTGGCGAATGCGTCATCTGAAACTTGCAGTTTCTTTTGTATGCGCACTTTTGCTTCAGCTAATGTTTCACCTTCATTAATGACCAACAAAAAGGGTTCTCCAAAGTTCTGCACATGCTGATCGAAGCACACATTAAGAAGGGGAAAGAAAATAAAAAGACACCTGCTTAATATTCTTACCAAATCAGAAGACAAAAATAATGGGAAGAAAACTTAAACTTGACCAAAAATAATTGTAGAACAACTGAATGTTCGATACCAGCTGATTTTGAGGAGTTTCCTTCGTGAAGTGGTAAACATGAATCAAGCGATCATGCGGCCCAAGGTCCTTCTCTTCTTCGGGAATCTGAGCAAATAAGAATTTTAAGTTTCAATAGCTACAACAATTAATAGCACATGAAAAAAAATTAAACCACAGTAAAAAAAAAAAGACAAAGAAGAAGACCCAAAGAAAAACAACGAGGATGCTATCTTCAAAGAAAGAGAAAGATGGTCAGAAGCGCAACCACAAAACCCACCATAGATAAAGAAAACAAGAGCTCAGAGCAAGTAGTGCAGCGAAATAGACTATTGGCGGTACCCCTGTAACATGCTTTCTCAAGATGTCATTTCAGTTTGAAATTCAAACCTCTTTCCTAATTCACTTGTTATTTTTTCTGCCAATGAAACCTGCTGGAAGAGAACTCATTTTATGATTGTTTAGACCCGCTGAATCTAGAAACGATTGCTTCCATGAGGTGGGGATTTATGAGTTTACTCTATGCAAAGCACTATCAAATAAATTTTGTTTTTATCAGCTATTGATATGAGAATTTTCGGCTACAATCTAGATAATTACTTTACATGAGGGCTGGTACATACTTTCATACAATTGAAATGACAAGAAATATTGGTGAAAAAATAATCTTCCTTATGAAGAGTTCAATTCTCTTTATATGACATACATTTCCTTGGTCAAGTACCACTAGAAGTGAAGGAAGAAAAATGTTCTCTGTCATGGATCTTCCATTCTATGAGGTATTTGCATTATCAATTAATCAGGCTTAAACGTTTTTTAAATGATAAGAACTTTGCCAGCCCGAAAAGGATACAAGAAACAAACCACCATCTTTACATTCCTCAAGCAATTCAACCAAAATTAAGATGATGAAAAGATTGGAAGGAGCAAAAGAGAGTCCTATAGCATGCTCACCTCCTCAGCACGCAATGTCCAGTACTGGTCATTTATATTCTCAATTTTCTCACTGGAAGGAAAGATCTGCACAGATATTGGGCATGTCAAGTGAATGGTTTAAATAGAATTCGACGTCTAAATCATCATCACTATCAAATAATGGTTTGACATTTAAACTTTTCAAATACAATGGTCCGAGTTACAATGGAGAATGGAAACTGAACACATGAAAATAACTAAAGGGTCACTGAAAATGCAATTACCTTGTAGATCTTATGATAGAAGACTTCAAGAAGTCTAAGTTCTGCATCAGGACGAGACAAATCTACCTGTTCAGCAAGGGATTCCCATTGAGTCTATTCAGAAAGAAGTTTGTTCCGAGAGAGAGAGAGTTGTGAAATAAATATAAGCAAGGCAGAGAGGAGAGCTCAAACAACTACTAGTCCATGCATAAAAAATTCTAAGCAACAACTTGAAGCAACCCTCACACTAAACTTGAAGCAACAACTTCTAAACCTCTATAGAAAATAAAGATTGAAATTTCATTCTTCTCATGGTGAAAGTTTGAATAGGTCTCAGTTGCAAACTTTCATGGACAAAAAAACCGAAAATTCTCCTCTAGCAGAAGATGGCTTAAATGGTACAAGAAATTTGTTTAAAACAGCAAAATGTAACACAACTGTCGACTCATAGACTGACATGAACCACTCCCTACATAATCCAATAAACTAGCTATTCTTGGTACTTGTTTTTCAAGGTCAAGAGATCAATTGGAAAGAGCCAAAAAAAAAAAATTTTGGAGTGAGATAGACCAGAATTTGTATATCTCCCAATGTATTCTCCATCATTTTCCTAAAGAGAGGATTACTGGCGTACGTCAATGACAATCAATAACTTGCCTTTGTCTTAAGTTCATTAATAACATCACCAACTGTGCTCTGCTTTGGAAGTCTAATATGATGAATTACAACCTGAAATGCATTAAAAAAATACATAAAGATAAAAAAAGTCAGAAATTCATGTACATAAGATTCCTGAAAGGGACAGAGAGAGAACTCAAATGCACCTCATCCTTTGAGGCATGATGAAACGCAACTTTCAAGTTCTTTAGACCTTGCAACTCTGGGAGAGGGATGTCCAATACTTCGTAGTACAATATATCAGAGATCTATCATAGAGAGAAATATCAGCCAGCCCCTCTAGATGAATTATCAGAGGTCTAAAAGATCAAAGGCTCATATAATTATGCAAACTCTACCTGGTTATAATGGACTAGCATATCTGAAAGACGCTCTACCCCTCGAAACTTGATTGGTTGAGGCTTGGGTTGTTGAGAGTAGCAATTGTGAGATGTAAGCCTAATTTTTGATGGATCATCCAGCCCAACTTGTTGAGCCACTCTTTCCACCACTTCATCATAATTATGTAGTTTGGACCTTAAAGGCATATGCATAATTGATGAATATCATACACACTCAAAAACCAAAAAAAGAGAAAAGCAAAAAGGTGTAACTAATACTCACAACTCTAGGACGAAATCGTCCTCCTTTAGTCTTTCCAATGATCGAAAATGAACAATCTACAAAATCATATTTTGTATATAATTTAGATTGACAGAAACACAATAATACATAGACATAAAAAATCCAAGCATGGTGGACTAAAGCCTCTTCCAGTGTTTATATTTGATAAACAAAACAAAGCAGTCCATCTTCCAAATGCAAGATTTACAATATTGGTGAATGTGTGCATGAAAATCACCAATATACTACTAAAAAGTACAAACTAAATGCTTGAGAAGTCAACAAGCGCACTGTCCTTTGCAGCTTTTCTCAAAGCATCTCAGCAAAAGAGCCCTTTGGGGTTAAGTGCAATAAGTTTCAACATAAAGAAATGTCAAGAAGCATGAAAGAAATGAAGACACATTTTATCTCTGCCCAAAAGAGCAGAGATGTACAGAATCGACAATTAAAATATAATCCTCTAAGGATGGTCTGATATATGAATCTTTTCATGCCATTGTGCTCTATTCTCCATGAAGTCTTCTCTAAGTACTCTATATCTTTCCTTGTCATCTCGTTCCACATCATTTTGGGTCTGTTGCCCCTTCTAATGTGGGCTTCATCTGATAATCACATCTTCTCACTGGAGCATTCAAAGGCACAGTTCCATGTCAGAATACTTCAAATGAGTTTCTCATCTCATCCTTGTTTGACTACCAACTTTATCAGAAATTTCACTTAAGCTTAAATGGCATTCAATGGTTGTGTAAAACAACGAACACACTCGTCCTCGTCTACTTTCTCCATCCCACTTGTATTTTGTGGGTAAAATCTCCACAATTTCTCCATCCTACATTGTGACGTTTGGCCTGCTGCCTTAAACTTATACTCTATAGTCCATATACCATTTTTCTGGACTGAACCGAAAAGCCTTAGATTCCAATGTTTCCCACTACAATGTGAGCTTTTCACTCCTGGTTGATTTTCAGCTTTCATCTATAAACATCATCTGCAAAATGCATAAGCCAAGGATATCATCTTGTTTATCCCAATTAGCCTGAAAACTGAAGGATAAGGACTAAAAGCTGAAAACTTGAATCATCCTAGGTCATAGGAAAAACCTCGGTTTCTCTTCAATGTATCCTTACCAAACTCACAGCTCCATCATGGATGTCATTTTATAATTGTATATAAGCAACGTGTACTCCTTTCTTCTCTAGAATTCTCCAAAACATTTCCCTTGAAACCTGTCATATTTCCTCCTAATTTATGAAAACGATGCACAAATCCCTTTGCCCATCCTTATGCCTTTCCAACAGGTATTAGCCTTCAAAAACTCTCAAGTAGTATCATTTCCAGAAAAAAACTCTCAAGTAGAATCATCCAATGTTAAGGGAATTCATGGATGATGATATGGCTCTTTCCTTCGTGGCAACAGGTCCATTAATAAAAATAAAAGTCTCCTTACAGCAATGAACCAGTCCCAGTGTGAGTTCTGGCATAGTGAGACTGCTTTGGACGATGTTTCTTAATCCTGAGGTTATTGAGTTTATCTTAATGCATGTCATATCGCCAAAAAAAAAGTCCAGCAAAGAAAGCAGGAAGGAAAGAGGAGCTCAAATGCATGCTGAAGGCAAAGAAACGCACCTCCACACACAAAATTAACAAGTAAAGAAGAAACTCACAAAAACTCAGTAATAGTACTAAACAAATGAGCACTGGTGGTACCTGGCGGTTATGCACATACTCCAAGTAAGAAGGAACATCTGGATAACGAAATTCATCTTCATTGTCTATTCGAGCTTTTTGAAAGCAAATGATGTCCCCATCTTCAATCTGAGAAGAGAAATAGAGTACTCATTCTAAGAAAATGTGTGAAAAGTGAGCTTGAACAAGACGCCATAAGCCAATATATACCTGACTCGTTCGAAATGATGCCTTCTTGTCAAGATGCTCACACATGACAGAAGGCTCAAACTTTATCTCCTGTGGATAACACCAACATGAAATGAGGGCCTTAAATTTACGTTGCCAAGGAGTGAAACAGACCTTAGATAGTTGAAACTATGACGACTTTTATCTTTTACCACAAAAACTAGATTTTAAAAGTGGAGAGTCCAAGCTGCTTGTTGTGATTTTTGCGAAAACAGTCGATAAATTTGACTTCTGCAAATACTTGAATGAAATTGAACTATCTCATCCTCAAGGAAGTATGTTCAAATGCAGGCTTCCTCTTTCTCCAAGGGAAGGGAAGGAACAAACCTCAAATAGTTCTAATTCTTCATCTTGATTGAAGCCTGCCATCTCATTTAATCTTGGCAAAATTTCAACTGGTCTACCAGAACTCTTCACAAAGAGCCTACCTACATATCTGGTATCATGGTGGTAATTCTCACGTAAGATGAAGAAAAAAGGTGCAAAGAAAACAGGAAAATTCTATATACGTAAATGCAAACTACCGCAGTTCTCCTTTCTCAGGGTTGTAAAGTTTGAAGAATAGCAAGATATCTTCTTTAGATTTTTCGGGTGGTGAAACAGGAACCTGATCCTGCAATATCGCACTGTCATTTAGACCATAGCAAATGCTACAAAAATATGGTACCTTCGAAAGCCACCTCAGAGTCGCATGCAAACACAAATAATGCATGGCCAATGACTATAAATCATTACCAGCCCAAGATCAACTTCCAAGAACAGCTTTAATTCCGCATTGTATGCCTTGTTTGACATCTCCTTTAACTGTCCAACCTATGTCAAGGTTATGACAATTTTTAGATGATCAAATATACATGAGAAGCAATTATATATTCTACATACTCCAGCTCATCCTCATTCTTATGATGAGCCTAATCCAATTAAACAAAATCAAAGATGACAGCAGTTTTCCCTACACCACCATCACTAATGGCCTAATCAATCTGTTGTCAAGAAAGTATAATATCTGATGAAGACTTCAAGTGCAAGACATGACCTGCCTACCTAGCATCCCAATTTTCACACAAACAAGGTAAAGGCCATGAAGTAATATTTGATACTGTAAAAGAAAGTTTAGGGAGGACTCATAACTTCCATTAAGGAAAGTGACCTTAACGATCTTCTTTTACATGTATATGGCTTTTCTGCATTCTATCAAGAAACTTTGACATACTTAGAAATAAAAGAACTCCCCAATCAAATAAATTAATCCATGGAATTGGAGAATGGGATTCAGCAGTAAAATGTTATTACTGGTTGAGCTTCCTCTTGGGGTGTTAGAGGCCGATTTGGACGGTAAGTATGGTTTTGCCTCTTTGCCCATGACCAGAAACGCTGACATTGCACAGGTACACCGAACTCTCTGGCAACTTCCTCCTGCGAGTAACCAGAAAATCAGTCACATAAATAAATCAACATATCTGACCATACATATTACTAGATAGGATCCGAATGAAACAGCAACGTCCACATGGCTGACGCACTAAACAAAAATCTTTGTTGTTTCTACTGCCGTATTTAAATTAGCTTAAAGCAATATCATAATATAGCTACTATCCCAGTACCAAAATCAGAAGACACCAAGTTAGAAGTCAGGTATTCTGAAAGCTCTTTGAAGCATCGTTAATTAACAAGCACATAAAGATTTTCAGCTATTCAAAGATATATTATGGTAAATTGAAGAGACAAAGTACAAAATTACAATGAAAAGTTGACCCCAATCAAAAAAGAAAATGATAAAGTATCACACACAGAAATTCTCTCAAGAGCAGATGACAGTCAAGATGGATTCCTGAATCAGTACTGATGTAGTCGGAGTAGTAAAAGACAACAAAAATGCCAAAAACAAGGCCAGATTAGAAAAAAATTGAAGCTGGAGTTGAACAGATATATACTAATAGGCTCGAAATGGTCATTAGATAAAAGTAATGAAAAGTGTAAAGATACCTTGAAAAGAGTAAACTGAATTTGCTTCTGAATGCGAAAACTTCGGACTTTGTCATGGTCCACAAGATCGAAGTATATATCTTTTCCAATCTGCTCAACAAGATCCTCTTCTCGTGCTACCTAGCATAATAGGCTGTTGCTTTAGATATAATACCAACAAAAGGCCTATGCTGCTTCTGAGTAAACACCACGACAACTATATACCTTTATTATAGTATAAAGATGGGCTTGTGCTTTGTACTTTCTCTTTTCCTCCTTCTCTTCTTGTTCCTTCTTCAACCTTATCTAAAGACAATAAGAACATAAGTCCAACCCATATACGTCCCCAGCTACATGGGAGTAGATTCATCAAGAAAGAACTTTACCCTCAAATGTTCTGCAATGTCCTTCTCATCGACGTGACAAATTATTTTGTCCCTGTCACTGTCACGTATATACACAAGCATGTATGCATTTGAGTATTTTGTAAATTTGAAGGGAGTGTTGTTAAAACCAGGATTGGTCTGCGGCAACTGAAAGAAAACAAATAAGAATCAAGTAAGCTCATCACAAGTCAGGCAAAGAATCAATTTGAGAATCAGTGTAATATATCACCTCCTCCTCTCCCCCATACTGTTCTTCCAAAGCCCTCTTTGTATCTTCTTTTGTCACCCGTTCATCATCAAATTTAAACCTGAAAGTTGGAATCTCAAAAGATGTGCTACTGATTACAACAAAAGTTCCAAACTAACAGACCAATCGCCTCTACATGCATGCAAAGCCTTGTGACCATCAGAGTCCAGGAACAAAATATATCCTCAATTATTACGGGCTTTCTTAGCAATTACTTATGAAAAAAATTAAAATAAGGCAAGAAGTCAAAGATGGAACATGTCATAATGTAGCGCAAAGACTAGAGATAAAGTTGTGGTAAGCAAACTCCTCAACCTTATTACAAAGCCAAGTTCAATACAGGCAAGTGCAATAATGTGTGTGTGTTCTATTGGATACTCTTCACCTAAACATGAAGCAGATTAACTTCAAGGTTGCGGTGGCAACTAGAACAAAGTCATAATTGTTTGGGGCAAAAAGAAGTCATGGAAAAAAAGATTTGCCAGTGGAGAAACATTGAATTTGTGATCACACTACAAATTATGGAATCTATATGTAAGCGTCTCTTATATTCCATATTCACAAATACATCGCATAACATTAATTCATTGAAAATGGTACATGCTACAATAAGATATCCATCATAGTATGTATATCCATTCATTATCTCATTACAAAACCAAATCAAGCATTAAGTGACTTTTTAGAAATTAAAATGGTGTTCAAAATATGCTTGAAAGTGCACCATTCAAATCATAATTGATTTGTGCCATTAAGATATAATTCAGGAAAGGATATTAAGTATATTTTTATTATTTTTTGATCGCTAATTTATCAAAGTTAGCATTTAAAATTGAAACTCGTTGAATATGATTTGAAAGACTTGGAAGTTAAGGCCTCCAGGTACCAATCGAGTGCTGTGATTGTCAGTTTCAGGCAAAGCTACAACATAATAATCGGACAAAGTTGGTCCTAACTATGGGTTAAAGCATGCTTGTAGCACATTAACATTGAGAAGTAGATTGACATATCGAACTATTGACTGAGTGAAAACTGAAATTTAATCATGGTCTTGATTGTTGGCTGTTGCCATAATAGCTTATTGCTATTTCACCAGAATCTAATAGTTATTACTCTATTAGAATGTCATCAGTACTTCACCCTAAAAGAAGTGATAACTAATGCGTACTAAGCTAAGAATTTCTTCCTCAAAACTGAACCTAACTTGCCTGCATTATTTTCAGATTGTTTGAATTTGAAAGAATGATGACAATTGAAGTCTTGGTATGGGAATGGTGGATGCAGATGCCTCAGATTCCGTTCGGCAGGTGAAAGATATTTGGAATTAACAGTGATTGAGATCTTGAGGTCACTGTACTTGCCCAACGATGGTTCCAATTCCAGGTGTTAAAGAACCCATATTTCAGCATAGTTCATGGGAATCAAAGGGAATAATTCACTGTAGGATTTTCTTGCAGAGCAGAAAATCTGACGATCTTTATCATAAGGACATGCACCGTATGAAAAAGACCAAAAATAAAACCCATTGGCTAATCTCCAAACGAAAATAAGATGCAGCAAAACCCCTTGCTGGATAATCCATTTAACAAGATAATGAAAAGAAGAGCTAGATTCTGTCAGGGGGAAGAGAGAGAGAGAGAGAGAGAGTAGAAATAACACATACCATTGATCAGAGAGTGTGGGCCTGATAAAGGCATAATAATGACCGCCGTGAACGCCACCACTATGAACCAAGACACTGCCCAGGAAATGATAACACAAGAAGGATAAGCGCATTCGCCGATATAAACTATCGAACTTCACACATGTCAAGAGACATATACACTGCCACATGCAAAACCATACACGAAAGCTTCACCTCCAACCCCCCAACAAAAATACGTCTTATAAGTGGTCATTTTTGCCGAAGAGAAAAAAAAGAGAGAAAAGAAAAGAAAACCCAAAAACATGGCTTAAACAAGTGATTTGTAATCAAATAACTAGTATGATAAATACCAAATGCAAATATTCAGTACAATATACAAGCAGAATTGAACACCAGTATAAAATGTGCAGCTATGAGCTCAAATGGAGTATAACCACGAACAACTGTAAAGATAATTCGGATTTGATGTTTCCAGAGGGAGGCTTTTTTCTCCCTTGTTCTTTGTGTATTTTTGCGGGGTTCTTTTTTCTTGTTTTGGGGGGGGGGGGAGGAGGAATATGAAGAGAAGTTCATTAAGCAGGGGGGAAATGGCAGCCAAGAAACAGGCCATTGTGCAATTATTATGCAAAGGCCAAACCTACCTGTGAAGAGAATAAAGGTTGCGTACACTGCTATCTGCATCTGGTGACAAATATTTTCCATTGTCTCTGTCTAAGTCCAGCTGAAGAGGGAACTCATAGCGATCATTTATCTGAATAAACAAAATTTGTTAGTAAATGAGGAGCATGAGACTGAACTGATACCATTTTGCGAGTAAAGGAACAAGACCAACACCAATGGATCTCAATGTTGAAACAACAAAAGAACCTAAGATCCTCGCCGAATATCACATCCGGAGATTGGAACTTTACGGAGTGTCAGAAATAAAAAGGAGAAGGAGAATGAAAGGAATCCTTTCCACAGATCTAATTTTGCTTATCCAAAATCATTTTAAATCAGCAAATTTATAGGAATTTGTCTTATAAGGAAAAAGTTAAAGAGTGCCTCTAAAGCACTTACTAAGAGTCATTAATTTGCTTTGGAAATGACCATTTCTATTTGAAGCATGTCACTTTTTGGGACTATGTTCCTTTTCAACTTCCCAAGATGTGTTGATAGGCGTTATTACTAATTTTAGTAGTCTCAACAAGTGCTGTTGGGCCACTTGCTAACAAGACCCTACATAAAATGTTATCTCTCATCATTAGACGCAGCATAGCACGTGGGAAGAGAACAATTAGACTAGGTGCAACTAATGACATTTCCTCAACATAACCTCTACAAATTCGAAATTTTAAATAATGAGTTCCGTCAATTCAGTCAAATACCAAAATCATGTATAGAATTGTACACTTACCTTAACCATAGTGTCTCGCATAAAATCATATTCAAACCGCTTAAGGTGAAGTTGCAGAACTGGGGGGAAGTCAATAAACAGGACGCCCTTCTTTGCATCCTGACATAACAAAATAAACGACAACCATCCTTCAATTTATCTTTGACCATTGATTTGTTTACAAGAAAGCTGCACAGGTCAATAGCCTTTCTGCTGTTTCCAAGAAAGATGCTAAACAATAACATGGAAGAAATAAGAAAAATAACATTAGCACATTTCCTTCACTCTAGAGCACGGAGATTTCACTGTACAGAAGGTCAATCAAAAACCTATCAAGGGGTCACCATGGGGAATAAACTCTGTATCATGAAAGAAACTAATCCGACAGTAACTGATAAAATTAGCTTAGTAGAATGATCAAAAAGTTGAGCCGTCTTCGCTATTGAAACTCAGAAGACAATAGTTGAAATTGGTATATCATGCACAATTACTTAGCAGGATCTACTATGACCCTGAAATAACAGTGGAAACAGAAGCAACCTTTTGGCTTAATATCTCATAGGCAACAGAAGAGAAAGAAAACAATATCAGCTACCTCATATCAAGTATCCTGTGGCCCAGTTCCTTAGATACAAGACAACTGTCTAATTATATCTACAAACATGTTTACTAACCTGCAAACCATGTTCCTCAGCTTGGTATTTGTTGTCACCTTCAAGACGTTCAACTTCTACATATTTGTCAAAAGAAGCATAAACATCCCGACACCCTTTAACATCAAGCTGTAGATCTGCCATATAGACATAGACTTCAAAATCCTCCAACTTTATAATAACATTATCATGAAAATGCGAACAGGGTAACAACCGGACAAAATCTCAAACTTTCGGCATGAACATTACCGTAGAACGATTCCTTTCTGGTTGATTTATAGTCTACATTGATGCACTCAATATAATTCATATGATGACCCTCAAATAATTGCTGTATTGTGCCCTCTACCACAGTTCCCTGGATCCATAAAGCACAACTTATAGATTGAATATAAAAAGTTTAAGCTATGACCTCCTATACCTTCATTTTATCCTCAAGCTTTTCACACAGGACTCTATTCAGTTCTTGAACATCATGTTGCATAAATGAATCATAAGTGTCCCATCCAAATGATCTTGTCAGTTCTTTTGTCGTGACACTGCTATCATAATATTGCAGCTTATAGAACAAACTCTGAAGAGCCAAAGGAATGCTTCCAGAAGGCATGTCATTCTCAGTTGTTGGCATATGGTATACAGCCTGACATATACAAAATCAAGATGCATTACCATATTATAACTCACATTCAAAAAAAGAGTAACTATAGAGTTCCCACCTTTCTAAAGTATGGTATATGGTACAAAGTCTGCAACAAAGAGTTCATATAACAGGTGGCTCCTTGGTTCTTAAGTCCCACATAACCAGTCTCCTTTTTCGAGTCGTATGACCAGTAATCCAGAATCTTGCGCACAGCAACCTCAGCTTCCACGAAAACTGTATCATTTGCCATATATCCTCTACCAGGATCATATAGCTCGCCAAGAGGCATGAAGGATGTAAAACCCCAGTCACTCTCTCTCACATTGAACTGATGTTGCGTATCTAAAGAATTTAGATACATTATTTCAAAGGTAACAAGAATAACTGAGGTAAAATGAGAGTGAGGATGAGTAATGTCTAAACCAAGATGACTAGATGCAGTGAGCCAAACTAACTGAAGGCATGGAATATACTGGTGAATTTTTAACCTTGAAGAAGCTTATGTAGCCAAGGCAGAACCAAGTAAGCAGATTAGCCCCTAACTAACAGCTTTGCAGCATAAGAGCACTCTTATTATTTCCATAATGGAGATGCTACATCATAATTAAGCACATTATAAATCAACGGGGTATGCTGTACGACTGGTCACCTCTTATAAGCTGAACGAGTTTGAAAACATTGGCCCAAGATAAGCCACAGAACAAGTACATATGCAGTAGTAGCTATATCGTTCTGCATGCCTTCAACAAAATGATGAAGTTTTCCAGGTGAAAGAAAGCAGCTAGAACAGGAAGATCTCCAAGAATAAGGGACAAATGGCTAAGGAGAGCTCTCCAATTCAATCATGCACACTAGTTCGAAGATGTCCTTTTCACAAACTGCGACCAAGGACATGCTACAAATCAAGGCAAACAAGTAAAACCCCATCTTACTAAATACAGAAGATCCTAAGGAAAATCTAGTGAATAATCAAACAACTTCCCCTCTTCTCAAGCACCAAAAATAATGCCCATGCTGGTGGTTGTTTGAGGGATCGGTGTTGAAGATGAGATGAGAAATATTCTCCTCACTTCAATATCAATGTTTCTAGACTGAACAAGGCAAATGATACCCAAATAAATACATTTTCATTTTGTTGCTCTCGGCATTAACGACATGAAATAAAAGCCATGATTGAAGGATTCTTCAGCCAAGATATCCAGGATCACAAGCCAAAGAAAGTGGCCAGTCAACAAGTGATATACAATAAATAGCTAATTGAAGCAAAGTAACTAAGAAGCCACTTAATTGTATCGAACATTTTGTCTGCAAGGAATACTATAATTAAAGCAAACTACCACGGCAAGCAACACAACATAAGTTCATCCCAGTTGCAGTCTACAAACCGACTCTAGAGACTTTTTCTTCCACAAAGGCCTCCCCAACTATTCTGCCATGCTGAACTGCATGGCTTTCAACTTCAGTCTTCAAGCACATCTTTCGTGGCAAAGGATCCAGTAGTACTTTTCTATTGACTGTTTTTATTCTACCCATTTTCTTAGGAAAAGACTGTTAGCTGTTGACTAGGACAATTAGTTTGCCCTTCTATGAGCACGTGCCATTTTCTGACAGAAACTTGCCCAAAAACTTGCAACTTATGCCTCCGGAATATTTTTTTCCACCTTGCTGATCTCTATGGATTTCTTTCATATCAATGAGCAAGGGCCAGTTTGTGACAGAACTCTCTCTCTCACTCCACCCCCCCCCCCCCCCCCCCGCCACACACACACACACACACACACACACACACAAACGCCTCTTTCTTTCTTTTCATGGACCTCTCTGTCTCTCCTCACCTCCCCCCCAGTCCCTGCATTCCACACCCCCACCCCCCTCAACACACACACACAAACCCCTCTTTCTTTCTTTTCATGGACCTCTCTGTCTCTCCTCACCTCCCCCCCAGCCCCCCACGTGCAGGATTTCCCTTTATTGCAAGGAGAGTTAGACTTTAATATTCCTCCTACTAAGGGAGATCAGGTAAGCTCTCCCTCCTAGAATAAACAAGATGAGCACTACCAGATTCGTGAATTTTATTCTGCTGCTCCAACCGCGAATTAAAGTTTTGATAAGGCAACAAAATATACTAGCAGGCTACCTATTTATTCTTCTGCCAACCAATACTAGACCCCAAGCCAAAGACAGAAGAAATGACTTAACTATATTATCAACTTAGAAAGCATAAATAATTAAACAGCCACCTGCTCATATACCGGCATTTGCTTGGTAAACCATATGATTCTATCTGACAGTTACGTACCCTTTCTTATTGTATACTTGTTATTGATCTGATTCACCACAGCCAAACTGAACTGGGCGTATCTGCTCCATCCATACGGCAGCGCTGCCGAATCTGCCACATCTAAATACATAGATAAGTGGTCCACGTTGTTTCCTTTCGGGAAAATAAGTATCCGCCTGTGGAGAGCAACCTAGTTAGTGCAAAATACCAATCACCGCTAAGTATCATGTCGAAATCATATATCGCAGCGCACCCGGACAATTTCAATGAGGAGAGTCAATTACCATTTGTAACCGCCCACCACAAAAACCTCGGAATAGTGCTTCCTCGTATTCAACCTAGGGAAGTTGTCGATCCTCCAAGTGAACTTCATCGAAGGAGGCTCCTCCGGTTGCTGATTCTCCACCACGCCGGTAGGATCCACTTGCGCCACGCCTAAAACACCCCGAAAATCAATCACCCCCATTACTCAACTAACTAGAACACCAGCATCACACCCGGAATTCCCCTCCCCTACCGCCAACCTCACAGCCCCCAAGAAAACCCAGAAAACGCAAAGAGAAGGGAAGCGGCAAAAGATGCTTACCTTCCATGGGCTGAGGGCCCTCGACGACCAAATCGGAATGCGGGACCAGCATTTCCTCGTCCTCCTGCTGCAACAAAAAAGCAGTTAGCTTCCTCCACCCAAAAAACCGAAACCCCAGATCAATCCAACCAAAACCCTAAGGACATCGCCGGGACCCGGACGGATTGGGCGCGACCACCGGAGCAGCTCAATTCAGAAAGCCTCCCCACGTCAGGAACAAAGGGAAAAAAAGAGAGCAAAGGACACCCATCAATCCTCAACGAAAGAGGAGCTCAAATTGTACGAATCACAGCGCGAAATGGCCGCCAGTACCGAAGAACCAGCAGCGGCAGCAGTGAGGAAGAAGAGATGGAAATCACAGAGACCCATCAAACGTGTGTGAATTTTAGTATCTAATATTAGCTAGCGCGCGCGCACAGAGAGAGAGAGAGAGGGAGAGAGGGAGAGAGAGGAGGGAGGCGGTGATTACATCCAGCGGTGGCGGAGGAGTCATCATAGTCATGGATGCGCGAGCTCGTGATCGACGAAGCGATTGCGGAGGAGGAGGAGGAGGAGGAGGAGAAGAGAGGACGACGGAAAGGAAGAGGAAGGAGTTGGAGTGTCGCGGAAGAACTGTGTGGCTCGAGAGTTCGTGGGGGTGGGGTGGGGGGGTTTCGCGAAGGGAGTGGGCACGAGGGATATTTTGCGCGGAGGTGAAGGGCAGCAGCATAATTTCGCCTGGGCGCGGGGGGAAGCCAATCATGGGCTTCCGCTTGGAGAAGGGGCGGAGAGGCGGATGACGTGGCGGGTCCTCCGCCGGGGTCACGTGCGCGGGGTGTGGCGCTCTCTCTGCCTCCCTCTCCGGCCAGGCGAAAGCGGCAGGAATCCTAGTACTGACCCCCCCGCCCGGATGACGTTTCCGCCTCCTTTTTCTTGTTTGCTGTCTTGTTTTTCTTTTTTCTTTTTTTAATGAAAGCACCAAAGCATCTTTGAAAATGCTTAGGTGTCACCTTTTTTTTTTTTGATCGATAATGTATGAAATTTCATTAACACAGCAAAAGTCTATTTACATCAAAAACTATGATATCCAACATAGATTTCGGGGGATAAAGTAGCGAGTTCGGGGGAAGTTTTTTCTTCCGTTTTGCCTTGACCACCCAATCTGCAAGTTGATTTGCTTCTCTCGGACAGTAGGACAAACTCACCCAATTTAATTGGGCCAGCTTTGATCTGCATTCGTCCATCCAGGCCTGTATTTTCCATGGACTTTGCTCCCCTTGAACTAGGCACTAATGAGCAAAGTACAGTCGGTATGTACTTCCACTTTGCTCCCACAAGGGATTTCTCTTCCCAGCTTTTCTTCCACAAAACGCAGGCCATGGAGAAGAACTAGGGCTTCAGCTGCTTCGGCCGATCCAGCACGAACGGAGTACGCAAACCCATCGATCATCATTCCTCTATAGTCGCGAACCACCCTAGCCACCGCTGAGTCCAACGATCCTTTCGATTTTGAGCCATCCAGGTTAAGCTTTAGAGATCCCCTCGCCAGCGGCTTCCAAGTAAGATCTGAAACGTTTCTATGTTTGGTTCTGTTCGTTTTGCTTAAATTCCATCTTTGAAAGCTCGCCAGCTTTGTGAGCGCGATGTCTATAATTTGGTTTGGTTCTGGCCGTCGCAAGTTGAAAACGAAGGCATTTCGCGATTTCCAAATTGACCATAGTATTCCGACTGTCTCCTCGGTTTGTCACCAAGTATGTGTTTGATTCCAAAACTTGTGAGACCCATTTATCCAGGCGTGTGATTGGTATGCTTGAATATTGCAGATTTAGCCTTGGATCCGCCCAAATGGAAGCTGCCCATGGTCAAAGGAGTAGGATATGCTTGACTGTTTCCGGTACCTGTTTGCACAAGGGGCATAAGGGGTCAGGTACGCTATTTCTCTTGTACAGATTTTCTCTAGTTGGTAAGGCATTTTGGCATGCACTCCATAGGAATATCCGAATCTTGGGGGGAGTGTTTAACTTCCACAGAGTATTCCAGAAAGATCTTGATACTTGGAATGAGATGGAGGGTAACGTTAATTATTGTTGTAGGCTTACTGGACGTAGTTTGTTGTAAGCACTTTTAACCGTATATTCCCCAGTTTTGTTACCTGTCCAAATCATCTTGTCCTCCTCGGTGTTGCTGTTGAGTGGAACAGCTAAGATTTCGCTAACAACATCCTCTTCATACAAAGACCTCAATTTTTGTTCATTCCATGTTCTATTTTCCTGGTTGATCAGTTCATCCACTTTCTGGGGTTCGCCATGGTTCATCGATCCATTAATAGTTCCCATTTCCAGCCACCTGTCTTCTCTTATTTTGATCGATTTTCCATTTCCAACAATCCATCTCATGTCCCCCTGAATAGAATTCCTTCCAATTAGCATACTTTGCCATTCCCACGACGGACGTGACCCCTTTTTTGCACTCCAAAAATCACCTTCAGGAAAGTATAAGCCTTTGAACAGCTTGCTCCAAAGAGCCGAAGAGGATTGAGAGAGCCTCCATGCCTGTTTTCCCAACATCGCCTTATTGAATGATATAAGGTCACGAAAACCCATACCGCCACTATCTTTCCTTGTCTTGAGGATGTCCCATTTCTTCCAATGTAGCCCGCTAGTCAATTCATTCTGTTTCCACCAAAAGTATGCTATCCTTTGCTCAATCGCTCTACACACCGAGTACGGAATTTTGAATATGGACATGGAATATTGCGGCAAGGCTTGTACTACAGTATTAATCAATGTCTCATTTCTTGCTCTCGACATAAGGTTCTCTTTCCATCCCTCCAACTTCATATTCACCCTAGCTAGGATCCAAGCAAACATTTGCTTCTTTGTTTGTCCCTAATCTGAAGGTATACCCAAGTATTTGCCAGTTTTTCCATCACAGGAACTCTGAGTTCTGAAGCCATATTCCTCTTCAAACAATCTGGGCACTCCTTACTGAAAAAATTTCCTGACTTGTTTAAATTTATAGCCTGCCCCGAAGCAAAGCAATATTGATTCAAAACTGCAGCAAGGTTATGACATTCTCTGACTTTCCCATCCAAAAAAAATATAGTATCATCCGCAAATAACAGGTGAGATAGGGTAGTGCAGAACCTGTTTAATTTAATCCCCGTAATACTACCATCTTCAACTGCTTTGTTCATAAGCTGTGAGAGCACATTAGACATTATTATAAACAAGTAGGGAGAGAGGGGGTCACCTTGCCCGAATGCCTCTAGTGGGTTGGAAGAAGTCAAGGGGTTCACCATTAAACTTAACACTGAAAGTCACCGACTTTATGCAGGCCATAACCAGGGATTACCACTTCTCACTGAAACCCATTTTTCCCGTCAATGCCTCCAAGAAATCTCATTCCACACGATCGTACGCCTTTTGCATATCGAGTTTCAACATTGCCTGAAATTTCGCCTTCCTGTTTCTAATTCTTAATTGATATAGTACTTTTTGGACCATCATTATATTGTCTTGGATTTGCCTTCCGCTTACAAATGCACTTTGTTCCACCGCAATAATCTCAGGGAGCCAAGGTTTTAGGCGGTTTGCCAACACCTTGGAGATAATCTTGTAAGCAAAATTGCACAAACTAATGGGGCAAAATTGAGACAAACTTTCTGGGTTGGGAACTTTTGGGATGAGAGTGATGTGGGTTCTATTAAGTTCAGGATGAAGTGTTCCTGACTCAAAGAACCTTTTAACTTCCAGGAACACATCCCCTTTGATTTCCTCCCAATGATGTTGGAAAAATTGTCCATTAAGTCCATCGGGTCCCGAGGCCTTAGTAGCTCCAAGTTGGAAGACTGCAATCTCCACCTCTTTTAATGTAACTATACTCATAAATGCTTACATGAAAATTAGAAATATTTTTATAAAAGAATTAATACCACGAAAAATCCCAAACTGGTAGGCCTGTGACACATTTATCCCAAACTGGTATATTTATAACAAATTTACCCTCAATTAAATCGAATTAATAAAAAAAATCACAAACTAATGCACCTAGGACGAACGGAGGGTAAAACTTCAAAATTGGTACATTCGTCAACTGTCATGTGTCATTAAACTAAATAATTTGACAGTAAATTTATAACAAAAATTAATTGAGGGTAAATTTGTCACAAGTTGTTGACACCTGATTTTTTAGCTCATATTTTAATTTTTTCCAAAAATTATAAAATTAGGATTAGGAACCTTGGCCAAGCTTAGGAACCTATTTCTAAACCAAAAATAAATTTTTTAGAATTTTCCTGAATTTTTCCTTAATTTCTTTTAATCAAAATAAGGGTGAAAATTAAGAAAAATAGTAAATGGAGTCCAAAAATTCCATAAAAATAGTCATTAGTCTTATTTTAAATCCAATTTCATTAATACAGTATAGATTTTAGAAAATTTCAATTGCGAATGCACTTTTCCCAAAATTGGGTAAAAACAAGCCCAAATTGAATAAAAAATTCAATTGAGTCATTTCTAGTCATTTCTAGGCTATAATGTCTTCATAACAAATGATCCTGGAACCTTGAATTACATAATGGTCAGTCCAATTGCACAATTTACCAAAGAAATCGAAAAGCCCCAAAATCCAATTGAAAATTAGGGATTTTTAGCCTAAATTGGGGATCATGATCAATTTGAAATTGTCAAACCTTGAGATCATTATTTCTAAAGTTAATCAGTTATGGGTAATCCAATTTTGGCATCAATTTTTCACAATCAAGTCATCTAGATGTTAAATTGAACAAAAATCCTAGTAATCCGAATTTGCAATTTGAAAATTTTGGGTTTAATTGTGACAAAAATTAGGGTAAATCACATATTTGGATACAAAATGTGATGAGGAATCTAATTTTTGGGGTTAAAATCGGAAAATGGGGTTAAAATCGGGTCGAATTTGTGAATTTAGACCAACTCAGGTCTGCCGGGTCGGTCGGATTGACCCGACCCGACCTGGGTCGGCCTTCTCCCTCACCCGACTCGCTTAAGGCATTCTAAACCCAGAAAAAATCAGCTCGTGCCTGCCTTTTCACCGACTTAATCCAGCCAAATGAGCACGTGTTAATCTCCGATTTCAGTTAGAGAATCTCTAGCTGGCATCAGAGATTCGATCTAACCGATTCGAGGTCGGTAAATAACAAACTTTGGACTGAAAATTGAGCTACAAAGAGAGGAAAAAATCATTATCCGTGCATACCAGACGTTTGACGAAATCACAGAGAGAGAAAGAGAGAGTCTGAGTTTGAGAGGTGTGTTGAGATCCCAAGGACCGAGTGATAGGTGTTTTTCCGGTAAGAAAAACGCCGGCAAATCGGCTCTAATGGTGAACCTCCTCACCTGAAAAACTTGTGCCGGAGCTAGTCGCCAACACCTGAAAATCAAACACGGCCGGCATGTCCAGAGCTACTCCGACGAAGCCAAAGCCATCGTCTTGAAGTTCAGATGACAGGGAAAGACTCGATAGTCGCCGTTTGGTTCGGAAATTCAGAATCAAGCTCAAATGAAGAAGGTAAAGTTCAGTCATGATCACGGTTTTGCAAAATTCCAAATTGTGTGGTTGAGCTTTACTGTGCTTGATCGTGTAATTTTTTATGATTTTCAGTTTCTTAATGCTCAAAACTTGATTCTGATCACGATATTGGTTGTTTGTTGCATTTTGGGCCATTAAATCTGCATAAACCGAGTCAATCCGACATTGAAACATCCTCGCCGGAAATCGGAGACCTTCGCTGGAGCGCTAAAATGACTTAGGCTGTCCAAGTCAGTGATTCCCAATCTTTGTTTGATGTTTTGAATATTGTTTGGGATCGATTTAGACGGCTAGGGCGATTAGGATAATGATTTGAATTCTAGAAATGTTAGTTTTAGACATAAATGATTTAGGATTTTTAAGCTTGAATCTCACTGGTCGGTGGTGGTCCAGCGGCGAACAAGCTAGGTTAGATTGATAATGAATCATGATGACTCAACATTGAACCAATTGGAATTGTCAAAAACTCGTCGGAAGGTCGCTGGAATTAAGCTTGAACCAGCGGCCTCGAAAACTTTATATCCAGTTCATGCTCACCAACTATTCGGTATAATGCCACAAAGAAAAACAGTACAAACGGCGCCGTTTTGGCATTGTGGGCGCCGGAGCCGCTGTCGGCCAGTCCGACTTGATCGGACCGATCTGAACCGGTTTGGTCTGGTTCGCTTCCTTGGTGGGAATTTTTGAAAAAATGAATAAAAAAATCTAAAAAAATTAAAAATTTAGAAAAATCAAAATTTTTAAAGAAAATCAGGAAAATTCTAAAAAATTAGAAATTTAGAAAATCGAAAAAAGGAAAATATAAAAAAATTCAAAAAATTCATAAAAAAATTCAAAAATTCTCAGAAAATCCACAAAAATGTGAAAAATTTAGGAAAATATAAAAAAATTTGGAAAATCCGAAAATCTATAAAAAATTTCAGAAAATAATAAAAATTAGCTCTCGGGAAGGATAATTCTCGGAAATATTTTTTCAAAAAAAAATTTATTTTTTAATTTTTTTAATTTTTTTTAAAAAAATTCAAAGAATGACCCAAAAATATTGTGGCTAACCTTTGCAAGTGAAATTAGAATTTTTAGAGGTGCCTAACCAGCATTGTTAAAAAATCCTTTGTTTAGGGGTTTTTACCCCTAAAAAAATCATAAACCCTAAAACAACATACATCATCGGATGAATATGCCTTTAGGGCTTTACTAGGGTTTGGATGTTTTTAATTAGTTTTCATTTTAGAGACTCAAATTAGAATTGTTTTGTTTGATTGCAATTGATTGTGCTACTTATATTGATTGATTGAGTTCCCACGTTTAGAATGGCTAGAATTAGTTGATAGACCTCGGAAACTTGTGTGACACGTTAGACACATCATATCATTTTAGGTACCGAAAGGGCATTAGGGATCTCAACTTGAGATCTTTAGTATAACCAAGTCTCCATATTCAAAATCTCTGGTTCGCAGAATCGTGATATTTCTCCCGTACTCCGATTAGGTTTCTAGTCAACCTACCAATAATAACTAGTGGCGACTCCAAATAAAAAACATAGATTGAATAGAAAGATAAAAAAAATCACA